AAAACAAACAAACAACAACAACAAAACCAAAACCAAAACAAAACAAAAAAGAAACACTGATGTGCATGTATCTCTAGAGCATGTTGATTTATAGTAGAAATAATAGGATAAAAGGTAGTTTATCAAATCTATATTAATCCAGAAACAACTATTAAACTTAAATATTTTACATTAGTATGGATTTTGGTTTATTGATACAAATTTAAGGGAAATTTTGTTATGCTCTATGTATATTTCTATTTTGGGGTATTGTGCTTATGCAACCCATTTTAAAATGTAATGTATAATTAAAAATACATCATCTATAATAATTAAACTTATAGTCATATTAGATCTATTTTTAAGGTTAAACAGATGTATTTAGATAGATAGTCTTCAAACACTTTGAAGACCTACAGAATATGGCATTTAATGTTTAATAACCTAACACTTTTCATGATAGACACATCTGCTCCTGAAGGCACCAATTTACCTCAAAAGAAGATGATGGGCATCGAATAACCTCCGTACAGAATTTCTTTATTTATGGCAAAAGCTAGCTATTTGTGGAAAGAAACTGTCCTTGCCTCAATTGCTGACATTATACTTTTCAAACTGAACCAGCAGGATTAAAAAAAGCAACTGCCCAACTTTGCCAAGGTAGGACAGTCCTCCAAAATTCCTTGTTTCTCAGAAATGTCTTTCAGATATGCTATGCTTGTGAGCCAAAGTTGGATGCCCCATGTTACAGAAGAACTTTTGGTGACTGTCCAGACAGCCAGATGTCCCTATTGTTAGGTAACATCTCACCCTTCTGGGGTCTTTGATGGAGATGAAGACTAGATAGTCATAGTTAAAGTTTTCCTTAGTCACGGAAAAAAAAAGATATATTAGGCATAAAACTTTAGAATGACAAAGATAAAATAGATAATGGAATCTTTTCTCTAATTTTTGCAAAATACAAATGAACTAGATATATAACTGTAATTCTTACTTGATAACTGTTTTTGCTTTATATAATTTTACTATGTTAAAGTTAAAACCTTCCTTTTTAATTAGACAAAAAGGTATTCCTATACACTGTGTGAATATATGTCACTATGATTTAATTTAATAAAGAAGCTGTGTGGCCATTAGCTAAACAGAATAAGGTTAGGTGAGAGAGCCAAATTGAGGATGCTGGGAAGGAGAAGGGTGGGGTCTGGTTGTCAGACAGAGGCAGAGGGAGCAGGAGATGAACATGGCATGTTCATAATGGTACTGTCATGTGGCAGAGTGTAAATAAATTTATGGGTTATTTAAAATGTAAGAGTGG